GACTCCATGCTAAGCTCGGAGCCCCAAGTGGGGCTCAATCTCACAGCCCTGAAATCAGGACCTGGTCAAAATCAAGAGTTGGATGCTCAACTGACTGAGCCGCCCAGGCACCCCTGATTCACTTAAGTTTAAGAGACATTAGAATTAGCGGAGGAAATGAAGTCAGTATATTATTTAACCCTGTCACTTGTGATATGATATTCAACCTGTTGGTTGTCCAACTTCAGCAAGAATCCATCCCTAGCTTACTGGAAAGAATGAAAGGAGGTGATTTACAGAGATAGCTCACTGTTCAATTATGTGTATTTTGAGAGCCAAGGATGTGCTTCACACCAAGCTGGGTGCTCTGAGGGTAAGAAAGAAACCAGGTACCATGTGGAAGGAGAAACATCATGAATTAGTCGCTGGGAATGCCTTGAATAGGAGTCTCAAACTCAGTGCTTGCAGAGGCCAAGCAGGAACATAAAAAGGGGGAGGAAGAGGGTAGCCTTAAAGAAGGCAGGAGGACTCTGGAAGGTGCATTGAGTATGCCTGACCAAAGGACCACCTGCTTTTCATTTCAAGCCAGTTGCCCCCATGCAGGAATGCACGCCCAGTGTTGCCAGATTTTCTGTTGTTTCAAGAGAAACCAGAAAATTGATAAATTGTATATGCAGTCTAATTTTTAACTGTTGGAAGTTAATGTAAAAGTAGTTTGTCGTCTGCAGAGATGGATGATAGATTCGTGGTTGCCTAGGACTACTTGGCGGGAGAGGGCAGGTAGGATAGAGTGCTGATGGGTACAGTTTTTGGGACGATGAGGAAGTTCTAACATTTCATTGTGGTGAGGATTATACAACTCTGTGACTATACTAAGAACCATTGAGTTATATACCTTAAGTGGATAAATTATATGGTAGTGAATTTTATTTCCATAAAGTTTTTTTTTTAAGATTTTATTTATTTATTTGACAGAGACACAGTGAGAGAGGGAACATGAGCAGGGGGAGAGGGAGAAGCAGACTTCCCGCCGAGCAGGGAGCCCTATGCGGGGCTCAATCCCAGGACCCTGGGATCATGACCGGAGCTGAAGGCAGACGCTTAATGGCTGAGCCACCCAGGTGCCCCTCCATAAAGTTTTTTAAAAAGTATTTTGTGGGCCAAACAAAATATGTCTTGGTGCCAAAATGGGCCACCAGTGTCCTGGAACCTGAGGCTCAACCTCTCAGCATCTTTTCCCACTTGTCAAATGGGAGACAGCTAGCCTCCTTCCCACCGTGTCAAGGATAAGCAGGGGTACTTAGACTAAAGGTTGCCCAGGCCACGGGCCCATAGTCAGCAGGTACTGGGAGAGCCTTGCTGAGGGATTCACTTTTTGCCTGCTTCAGAAAGAGAATGGTCATTGGTGGCTGGCAGCAGACTTGAGTCCTCAGATCTCAAATATTTATTATGAAACTACTTTTTCAAGAAGCCTCTCTACAAGGCACTTATTTATTTGGCATTGCCAGGGTGAATAACAAAGAGAGTGGAAGCTCATTTGCCAGGTACATAGTTCCTAGGTACAAATACTATTAAAGAAATGGACAGGGCCCCTTTATATGGGGTGGTTTTAGCAGAATAGAAGCAGCTCAGCTGCCTCCCCCATCCTGCTCACTCTTCACTCAGTTGCTGGCCTGGCAGGTGAGCTCGTGGGACTGCAGAGACAGCTGGGTCTGGTTCCACCGTGCGCATCATTCCCGATGCCACCTTCACCTTTCCTGCACACCTCTGCCTGCGGCTTCTGGCATTCCAGCCGCCTGTTCAGGCTCCATACTTTAGGCTTCATTGACCAATCATTTGAGCTTGGTTTTAATTTTAGGCAGCCAGCATCTATCTGCGTACCTTCAAATGCCAGATACTGCTGATACATAAAGTCTCTGAGCTTGAGAAACCTGGGCTGAAAACGGACAAAAATGGAAACCATAAATTCAAATAGATAGCAGAAGGAAATGCAGACTACCTAGTGGTACAGGTAATGGGGATTTTGTGAAATAGTAGGAAGAGGATAATTAATTCCAATAGGGGATTATCGTTCAGGAGGAAGGCAGTGACATTAGAACTGGGTCTTTAGGGCACCTGGGTGGCTCAGTCAGTTAAGCGTCTGCCTTTGGCTTGGGTCATGATCCCAGGGTCCTGGGATTGAGTCCCGCGTCGGCCTGCCTGCTCAGCCGGGAGTCTGCTTCTCCCTCTGCCCTTCCCCCCTGCTTGTGATCTCTCTCTTTCTCTCTCAAATAAATAAATTAAAAATCTTAAAAAAAAAAAAAGAAGAAGAAGAAGAAGAACTGGGTCTTTATACTCTCTTGCTGGGAAGGACAGAGAGGAAGAAATGAACCTAACATCTTAATTTGCCTTGTTACTGGGAGTCTAGTCTGATTTTGCTAGTAAACTCAAAATTAAATATCTAGGAAAATCATCTCTTCAAAATATCTAGAATCTGAAATGCAGGTCTCATCTTTACTTTTCTTGTTTTCAATCTCTGCCAGCAGGTCCAATTAGTCTGTTGGCATCACCACACCCAGATGAAGGCAGTGAGCAATTACTGGAAGCTTGAGCCAACAAGTTCCCGGAGTTCTCCTGTGCAGTGCTGTTCTCACTCCCTGAGCCTCTGTCCCATAGCCCTGGGGCTGCAGCCATACTCCTCCCTCCTTCCCAGGCTCTCAGCTCAGTTTACATCTGCACCTTGTCCAGGCTTCTTGCTGTTCTGCCCAGGCCAATGAGTTTGCACATTGTCTCCTGTTTTCTCTCTTTTCTGTTGGCAGAGGTTCCTGCTATCTTAGAGAACGGGCATTCCCTATCCTTTAGCTATTTCCTCCTCCTTCTGTCTTGCCAGAGTCAGGCACCAGGATGGCCTATCTAACCACTGCCCCCCTGCCCCAACACACACACACTTCTCCTATAGAAGAGCAGGAATAAGAGACAGAGAGGAAACCAGGGATGTTGCAGGAAAGCCTTTGGTGCAAAGATAACCTTGGCTATTTAGCATCTCCTGATGTGTTTACTGCTTGCTGTGTGGGTTCTGGAAATATCACTCTCCGCCCCAAGAGAAGTGATCAATAGGCAGCAGGAAAAGGCTTGCCCCTGTTATATGTGCAGCTGCAAACCATGTTGGGGTGGAAGGGTGAGCGTATCGACTGTGGTGGTAGAAGAGTTAAGAAGGAAGAGAACAGGGACGCCTGGGTGGCTCAGTTGTTTAAGCGTCTGCCTTTGGCTCAGGTCATGATCCCAGGGTCCTGGGATCGAGTCCTACATTGGGCTCCCTGCTCAGCGGGGAGCCTGCTTCTCCCTCTGCCTGCCTCTGTCTCTCTCTCTCTGATAAATAAATAAAATCTTAAAAAAAAAAAAAGAAGGAAGAGAACAGGCTCTATCTGCAGGCAGTATCAAGTCTCGACATCTGTCCTGCACAGAGTTGGCATCTGTGTCTCGAGACACCATTTACTTTGGTTGGGCCCTAGGTGGCACCAGAGATATTGACAGAGAAGTCAGATTCTCTTCTGGCACCCCACCCAATTTACCAAGGATTGGAGCAGCCGGATTGTAATGTTGGGTCTTTTCTCAGGTGATGCTTTAGAACTTCCCTGCTCTTTACCATCAGAATACCAGTGAGTAAAAAAAAAAAAGCATAGTAAAAAAATAAAACAAACACAACCCCACCCCCAACAGAGCATAGAGGTTTGCCCCTGCAGTATGAACCAGATAACGTATGTTCCATCAGTCAGCTTCAAGTATGGTGGTGTTCACGGTGGTGTCTGTCCTAGAGACCATGGAGGGCAGGGAGAGTTCAGGCCTGAGCTGCAAAAGTAGGTTAACAGTGTCCCATGTGGTTTAACAGAAAGAATCACGTTCTTCCCACCTTGATTATGTTCCTGAACTTGGCTGCTTTGGTGCTTCTAGGTACTTTTCTCCCCTCAGGTTTTCTCTTTTTCTTCCCTTTATTAGTATTATTTTTGATTCTAGAAGTAAAGCATGGTCAGTGTAGAAAAGTCGAAGAATACCAAAAAATCAAGTAATACTTTGAGGGTACAGTGAAAGTTCTCACCATCCCCAGTCCCACTTCCCTCCTGGCAGAATGCGTTTCCTCTATAGACTCTCATACAAATGGACATGTTGTACACAGATATAAGGTCTCTTTTAAATAAAAGTGAAACCATATTATACATACTGTATGATATATATCTCTTGTTTTTGTCGTACTTCTGACTTCTCTTTCTCTCTCCTCTCTCCTCAGGGATCCGGTGTGATTAAAGCTGGTTTTGCCGGTGATCAGATTCCCAAATACTGCTTTCCAAACTAGTAAGTAATTCTGTAGCTTAGTCAGAAGCTTGGGAGGCTTGTCAGCTTTGTTATGGAGTCAGCCCTCCACCTTTTACAGAGAAGGATCTCTGATTTGGGTCAGAGATATGAAATATACAAATAACTTAAAATAATACATGTTCATTGTAGAAATTGCGGGCAATGCAGAAAAGTAGAAGAAAATCAAAATCAACTATAACCTCACTCCTCAGAGATAATCACAGTAGAACTGAGTCTATTTCTTCCCTCTAAGCATGCACGTCTGTACATCCTTCTTTGTTCTGTCGTGAAATGAAAAGTGATGGTCCTCCCTCTCTCTTTCGTAGTGTGGGCAGACCCAAACACGTTCGTGTCATGGCCGGAGCCCTTGAAGGTGACATCTTCATTGGCCCCAAAGCCGAGGTAATTCCCAGTCCTACTGAAGAAGCCTCAAGCCAGCAGAGGACCTTCATCATTCCCCACATGGGCAGTGTCCCAGCAGTGGGACAGCCATGACTAAAAGGAGCAGTTTCCCCTTTTTTTTTTTTTAAGATTTTATTTATTTATTTGACAGAGACACAGCGAGAGAGGGAACACAAGCAGGGGGAGTGGGAGAGGGAGAAGCAGGCTCCCCGCTGAGCAGGGAGCCTGATGCGGGGCTCGATCCCAGGACCCCGGGATCATGACCTGAGCCCAAGGCAGATGCTTAATGACTGAGCCACCCAGGTGCCCTTAAATTCCTTTTATTTTAACTAAAATTGGGTAGATTTTTCTGTATTCCTGAAATACAGTTTATGTTACTTGCCCAGGTCAAAAGAACTACTAGTTTCATTATTTTTTTGGCAAAAGGGATTCAGGGGGAGATCCTGGCTGGGATACCCTGGGGATGAATTAATTAGCACCACTTGGAGGAGCCCTGGGGCAGCTTCCAGAAGCGGACCAACAGAATCACTGTTGCCAACCTCGGCTGCAAGCATTGAGGCCCAGAGGTGGGAGCCCAGGAGATTTGTGTCCTGGGATCAGGCTATGAGGAGGGTGCCTCCCGTCACTTGCTGTAAGGGCACTGAGGGCCCATGGAAATGCAGAAGCCTCCACTCTGCCGGCTGATCGGGCAGTGAGAACAGTTTGCAGCATACAGTTTAGAGACGTGGCAAACAGGGGCCTACCTTTAGCCCTGGGTGAGGATGGTGCGGTGGGCACTCCTAGTCCTGGAGGAGCGGGGCCCCCTGAGCTGCCTGGCTGAGAGGCTAGCTGCCGCTGTAAGTCCTGCTCTCTGCCCCCAGGAACACCGAGGGCTGCTCTCCATCCGCTACCCCATGGAGCACGGCATTGTCAAGGACTGGAACGACATGGAGCGCATCTGGCAGTATGTCTATTCCAAGGACCAGCTGCAGACTTTCTCAGAGGAGGTGAGGGTCCCGTGAGCAGGGTGTGCAGAGCTGTGCAGAGTCACCACCCCAGAGATGAGGAGGAGCAGAATGATCACTGCTGGGAGTATTTGAATCTTACTGGGGTGCCAGGCCACGTGCTCTTCAGCCAGGTCTGCCCTTAATCTGCATACCAGTCCTAGGACAAACAGGGAGTATTATCTCCATTTTATAAACAAGGGAACAGAAAGAAGTTCAGGGAAACCAAGTAGCCTTTCCAAGATCACCTAGGGAATAAAGTAGGAGAGCTGGGACTCAAACCCATGTGTTTCAGACTTCAGAGCTTATACTCTAACTTTTAAGGAAGTAACTCTCAAAACACAAAAACAAGGGAAGGTGAATACTAGACATATCAGAATTTCCAGGGGAGGGATATGTTCTGTTTTTCAAAAATACCTTCAATATTTAAATTTAATTTTGAAAAAAAAATTTAAACGATTATTTTTAACATAAGAATTCCAAATTTAGAGTTTAGCAAAATCTGGACAATTAGAGATACAGAGTAAATACAGGGGCCTATGTAAGAATCTTGGAGGACAAGGTGGGAGGAAGGGGGCAGAGGCAAGGACAGAATGAGACTTGTAAAGGGGCCATAAATTTGGAAGGTTGACAAACTGGCTTGTGCAGGGGTAGATGGCAGGCCCACCTTGCCTTTTTTTGGAGGGAGGCTCACAAAGGTCCCCTCAGCGCTCTAGCCCAGCACACAGGGGCTTCTCTGCTGATGAGGGGTATAGATCTCGCCTTGTCCTGATGACCCTCTGGGCATCTTTCATCAGCATCCTGTGCTCCTGACGGAGGCGCCTTTAAACCCACGGAAAAACCGTGAACGAGCAGCTGAAGTTTTCTTCGAGACCTTCAATGTACCAGCCCTTTTCATCTCCATGCAAGCTGTGCTCAGCCTGTGAGTAGCTGCCTGGCCCCTTGAGGGCAGAATGGAGGTGCCTGTCCTGTGGGTGGGAAAAGGGAGTATTGAGACCATGTCCCATTCTCCCTTCTCTTGTTCTTTGTCTTGGCGGCTGGGCACCCAGGGCTCTCCACTCTGCCTGCTGGGAAGGCCACACACTGCTACAGTTCTTCCTAAAGGCCCCTGTAACACGTTCAGATGCATATCCAGTGCCTGCTTGTGCAGACATTATGCCAGGCTGGTGATAGAGTTGTGATGGAAACACCACAACATGGTCCCTGTTCTCACACCCCTATCATCCCTGTCATGCTCCCAGCCTGCCTCATCCCAGGGTTAGGTCTAGGGCCGAGATTGTACACTGGTGACCTGCAGGCAGAATGTGTTTGACCCCATTAAAAAATTGTGAGCCAGCATTTTAACTAGATTTCCGGGGCGCCTGGCTGGCTCGTTGGTGGAACATGTGACCTTTGATGTCAGGATCGTACGTTCAAGCCCCACATGAGGCATGGAGCCTACTTAAAAAAAAAAAAAAATTGGGACATTTTCTATCAAAATCCAAACTTCTGGCTTTTCTGAAAAAACTGGGATGACCTGGCAGTGCTGGGCATGCATTCCTATAGATGAGACAAAAATCAGCTGTAGCCAAAGTCGCCACTGCCATTTCCGGTAGAGTTTGCAAGCCTCATTCTGCTACAGCCCGTTCTACTCCCTGTTGTCCTCCCAGCACGATCTTCATCACACATCATGGGTTTTTCCCCATCATATCACAGAAATATGTCTCTACCCTTGTCTTTACCAAAAGCTAGAGAAAAACAACAACAACCGAGGATCTAGGAGGCCATGTGGGGAAAAAGCGAGTTTTTTGTGCAAGTGAAAATATTATTTTCCTTTACTCATTTACCTTTCCTGCCTGGCCCCTGTAGGCATTTGAGTTTTTTCCTCTTGTCCGGAAAGTAAAAACTGCCCCATAGGCTGGGTTCCTGAAGCAGTCAAAGGCAGGCCATCCCCGGAGACTGGAAGGCCTGCTCTTCTGGAGTGGGGGAGGGGCTCAGGGAGGCTCAGCTCTCTTCCAAGTTTTTCAGGCTTGCTTATGCTCGGGCTTCCTCAGTACTGCGTAGTCTGAAGTTCCTAGAGAAAGGCAGGCCTCAGCTTTAGTTTAGCTGACTTTGAACTCTAAAAAAAGTGAGTTTCTTCCCTGAGTGAGGAGGCGGGCGTTAGTGACAGGTTTGCTCCCTGTGCTTCAGTTATGCCACAGGCAGGACCACAGGCGTGGTGCTGGATTCTGGGGACGGTGTCACGCATGCCGTGCCCATTTATGAGGGCTTTGCCATGCCCCACTCAATCATGCGCATCGACATCGCTGGCCGAGATGTCTCTCGCTTCCTTCGCCTCTACCTGCGGAAGGAGGGCTATGATTTCCACTCATCATCCGAATTTGAGATTGTCAAGGCCATAAAAGAAGTGAGTGCTGCCCCATGTGCCCAGGGATGGGATAGGGAATGGGAACGGGGCAGCCAGGACCTCTGTGACCTGGAGTGAAGAGAGGCGAAGCTCCAGTCCTGGGGGGGCGATCCTCTGGTCAGGCTCTTTTATCCCCAGCCAGGCCTCCTGGCTGCCATGTGATCCCAGCTGGGCCCCCTCACACTGATAGTCACTGTCCCCAAGTGCTGCCATCTTGTGGGGGAAAGGGAGCTGCTGCTATTTCTTAAGCTGGGTGAAGGTTATACCGGTGTTCATTGTGTTTTTATAACTTACGTACAAATTACATATGTTCTTTTACATCCTTGAAGAAGTCAGAATACAGTTTTCTTTTAAGTAAACTAGATCCTTCTGCCACCCATGCCTCTAGGGCAACTTGAGTTGGGTAGATGGGACCCAGAACCATGAGTAGTAGAAAGAAAAAAGAAGCCTAAGTCTGGACTAAAATTAGATTGTGGTCTCAGACCCAGCTCCAGACAGCCAGTTTCCACGCCTGCCCACAAGGAAGATGGAAGAGGTAGGAACTCGAATCCTAAGTGCCACCCAGTGGAGGCCGACAGAGGCCACCCTGCTATGCTCCAAGGCAGGAGCTCTGTGGCCCTTTAGGGCAGTCACTGTGGATGAGCAGATGTCTGCAGCAGCACTGGGACTTTGACCAGGTAGGCCTAGGCTTCCTGCCTGCCTAACTCCTGCTCGGTTCTGCAGAGAGCCTGCTACCTGTCCATAAACCCACAGAAGGATGAGACTCTAGAGACAGAGAAGGCTCAGTACTACCTGCCTGACGGCAGCACCATTGAGGTAGGTCTGGATCTCCCTTCAGTCCCCCCAGAAGCTCTGGGCCCCAACAGAACTCCACAGGGGGAGGCTGGGTTCACATGCATCAGCCCTTTCACACCCTCTCCCTGGAGCCCTAGAGCTCTCGAATAGCATTGTCTCCTGCAGAGCAAGGCATCAGGGACTTTGCTTCTCCTGTGTGGAGGAGAGGAGGCACCAGAGGTCAGGATGGGGTTTGGAAGAGGGTGGTTAGTGCTGTTTGTAATCATTTGGGCACAGTATAGGGTGAGCTGCCTCTTCCTGGACCTGCATTAATAGGAAGAAATTTCCATGAATGAATAAACCCATGTATTAATGCCAAAGGTCTCTTGGCTGGAAAGTGCCAGAGCTAGGAATAAACATAAGAGCTTCCTCTCTGTAATTTCCCAAGAGGTCTCTTTGTCCCTTTTTGTTTCCTGATTATTCCCAAGAGCCTTGTCTTTGTGTTTTGAGGCCCTTGACATACCAGGTCTTCCCTGAGCCTGGCCTTCCTAGCCACCTGGTCACTAACAGATGGGCAGAGGGGCCTCTTCCATTCTCACTCCCAAAGGGACCTCAGCCCTGGGCCCGGCCTCTGAGTTTGCCCTCCACCCTGCAGATTGGTCCTTCCCGATTCCGGGCACCTGAGCTGCTGTTCAGGCCAGACCTGATCGGAGAGGAGAGTGAGGGCATCCACGAGGTGCTGGTGTTTGCCATCCAGAAGTCAGACATGGACCTGCGGCGCACGCTTTTCTCGAACATTGTCCTCTCAGGAGGCTCCACCCTGTTCAAAGGTTGGTCTTTGCTCTCAGGGCCCATTGCCAAGGAAGTGTCCATATCTGGCTGGGCCCAGATGCCCAGAGAATTGACTTGAGATTCTCCTTTCCTGCCCATTCAGGCTTCGGTGACAGGCTACTGAGTGAAGTGAAGAAACTGGCTCCAAAAGACGTGAAGATCAGGGTAAGAGCATGGTGGGGGCAGGGCTGGGGCTGCGTGGAACCGGGCCTCCCCTCCAAGGCTAGACAGCTCCAGCTTCCACACTGACCTTGAGGTCTGCCAGAGGGGAGAACCCATTTTCCTTCTCCCTCCCAACAAAAGGGGGCAGTTCTGATACCCTGATGGGGCAGGCTGCTAGGCTGAGGGCCCCACGTGAGGTCTTTCAGAGAAACCGTCACGTTGGCAGATTGACTCCTGGTGCTCCCTTGTGACACAGCCCACCATCTTAGTGCTTGCTGAGGGGAGCTAAATGAAGGAGTGTGATCTTGCCACAGAGTCTTCTTCCAGTCGGCCCCCAAGAGCTGAATCTTGTACCGACAGCTCCAGCTTCCCTGGCAGCTATAGATACTTAGGGCTGCTGGAAATCTCCTCCAGATGAGTGTCAGGCTGGCCACAGTACCCCCCAGAGAGGCCACGGGGTCCAGCAGGGACACTGTGTGAAATGCATCCACTGCCTTGGGCATTGGAATTGGCCGTAAAGATGAGCGTTGGCCGGGAAAGGGACAAGGAGGATGAAAGTCTCAGAGTCCTCTTTCCACCAACCCTTTCAGATATCTGCACCTCAGGAGAGGCTGTATTCCACATGGATTGGGTGAGTAGTTCTCCTGGGAATAAGAGCGGAACAGGAAGTAAGGGCACTGTTACCCCTCACCACCCCATCCCTTTAAAGCAAAGCCTTGTCTGCTTTGGCCCCACGGGGACACGAATACCTACTTTCTCCCTCTCACAACGTTCCTTGGGATTCCCTCCACTCCAGGGGCTCCATCCTCGCCTCCCTGGACACCTTTAAGAAGATGTGGGTCTCCAAGAAGGAATATGAGGAAGACGGTGCCCGATCTATCCATAGGAAAACCTTCTAATGTTGGGACATCATCTTCACCTCTCTCTGAAGTTAACTCCACTTTAAAACTCGCTTTCTTGAGTCGGAGTGTTTGCGAGGAACTGCCTGTGTGTGTGAGTGTGTGTGTGTGGGTACGAATGTGTGCGCATATGCGAGAGCCGTGTGGCCCAGGGATCCCAGGGCCCAGAAAGGACGATGAACTACCCATGATGGCAACGGCCTGAGGCCTGGGGTTGACCACTAACTGGCCCCTGACAGGGAAGAGTGCTGGCAGAGGGCTCCACTCCTTCGTCAGCTGGGCCTTTGTCTGGCTGTGTGGGACTATGTTTACTACCATAGGGAGACAGAGAGGGTAAATCCCGGGAGATCTTGCTGCTGCCCACCCTAGGCTGGGCTAGCCCCACCCCATCCCACCCCCAGGGTGCCCTGAGGCCCACTGCCTCCCTTGCTCGTCCTTCTGCTCTCGATGCCAGTTGATCATGGACTGAGGACTGGGGCCGAAGTTGAGTTCTGTCTGGTTTTGTTGCAATTTGGGTTTGGGTGGGAAAGCACTCCAGGAGCTAACACTGAGACTTTGGGGTCAGGAGATGGCAGGGGGCCCTCAACCTCACCTGGGGACCAGGACCACACTGGGCATTTGAAGAGGCAGGAGTAGTGCTATACTTCTGATTGGTGGCAGAGTGAATGCTCCAACCCCCAGCCCCTGTCCAGGGGGTCTCGGGAGAGTTTCAGGAGCCTGTTGGCCCCAGGCCCTGTTACTTGCTTTTCATCCATCCTTGGGCAATGCCATCTTCAAACAGTTTTATTTATTGACGTGTTTGTTCAGTATGGGACTGGAGAGGGAGCCCATAGCCTCCTGCCCACCAGTCACCCTGTTCACACTAATGTTTACAGCACCTCAGTTTAGCATAGCGTCCAGGGCCCCGCCACTCCCTGCTAATGGTGAACTAACAGTATCCACAGGCCTCAGGCCTATTTAGGATCAGAGGCTACATTCAAAGTCACTACCACCAGCCTCTTTCTTTCTTCCTCTTCCATTTGCTCACTGCCCTGCAATCAACAGGCTGGTTGCCAGTTGGATTTTTTGGAAACAGGAGGTAGAATCACTCTTTGGCAGAGGCCTCCAGCAAAGGAGGGCTATAGGGGATCCAGCCCCCTTAGGACTGGAGAAAGAGCCACCATTAACCAGGTTGCCTTTTCCCACTCTAGCTGCCCCAGGGGGGCTAGGTTGTAGAGGTGATAAGGCCCCAACTGGGCTGATTTGTGCCATTCTTAACTTTGGACTTATCTGGTAAAGGAGGGAGGAGGCCAGATCAGAGTGCCAGGAGCTGACAGGCTCATCTCCCCTGATCCAGAGGGGCCAGGTGCCTACCCTGGACTGGGCTGGCCTCGCAGTGTCCAAAGGCTCTTTAGCCCAGATGGTGCAAAGCTGGGGCTAGCGGATCTTCACCGGCACCCTCACCTGTGACACCAAGACCCGCCCCAATCCCAGATTCCAGGCAGCATTCTCCCCCATGCCGTCCAACGACCAAAGGCCCTGCCAGGTATGGGCCACAGCAGCAGGTGTGTGTGAAAGCGATGTGGCGACCCACGGACTGCAGTGTGCTTAACCAGCTCACCTCCCTTCTCCTAGCCCAAGCCTGTCCCTTGCACAAACCACGTTGCCTGGTGGGGCCCAGTGTACTTAAATAAAGTCGTTCCAATAGATGCATCAGCTGCGCCTCTTTCTCTGGTGCTGGGTGGGAAGAGAATTGCTGCGGGCCCTGAATCTGAGGCGGTGATTGGGCCTTGTCTGTCCTCTAGAGGGCACTCTTGTACCAGCCAGACTTAGCCAGCCCTTCACCCAGGTCCCAGCCTGTCAAGTGGATACAGAGATGGTGTCCATGCCAAAGCCCCACTTCAGGAACTGAGGGTCCCAGCCCTGCACATACGCTAAAACCTATGACTGAAACTACCTCCAATGAAGGGAGCACCTCTTGACATCCCTGAAGTCAAAACTTGCACGTGGATAAGAAGCTCAGGAGCTTAAAATGTAGTTCCTGGGGCCCACACTCAGATATTCTGACTAATCAGTTCTCCATTTTAAACCTGTATACTTGTTGGGGGGGGCTCTCCAGGCACTTTGCAAATGTTAACCTATTTGATCCAACAACCCTGCAAAGTATTTTTATTATCCTCTTTGCGGATGAATTAGAGCCACAGAAAGATTACGTAATTTCCCAAAGCTCTGCCCTTTATTCGCTAGGATTTGAACCCAGGCGATATAGCCCTAGAGCCTCAATTTTTAGCCACTACACAGACCCTCAAAAACCACTGGCCTTGAGCAGTAGGTCCCAATCAAGTGGGACGCATCTGGCAATGTCTGGGGACATTTAGTTGTCACAACTGTAGGGAAATGCTACTGTCATCTAGGCAGAGGCCAGGGATGCTGCTTTAAATACTCGCAACAAAGGACTATCTGGCTCCGAATGTCTCCAGGTTGAGAAATGCTGGCCTGGAGCACAGGTGTTCTATCCCAGCTGCACAGGAAAATCAGAGCTTCCCAAAACCTCCATGCCCAGGCCATAGCCTAGAACCCATGACAGCAGAATCTTGGGGAAGATAATTCAAGACATCAGCATTTTTGAAAGCTCCCAGTGACTCCAGGGTTGAAGACCTCTTGGAAGCAGCTGCTTTTCCTTGCTCACCATGTCTGGCAGTGGTACATGGGAAATGCACCAGGACATGACCGCAGGCCTGCAAGTCATTTTGCTCACAAATGCCCATGCAGCCTGGTCTGCATGCCCTCCCCGCTACCTCAGTGACTCTGATGAGGGTGACCCCCACCCCCACCAACTCATCTGCAGAAAAACGTTCTCGGGGTGCTTTTCCTATTAAGTGAGGAATCCTGTTCCCCAACCCCACCAACCCACCACTCCTGCGCATAGCACAGACCTCAGGAACGGGAACAGAAATGACTGACTTTAATCAGTCTGTGATGATATGAACCTCTTTGAGAGATCAGGTGGGGGTGGGGGAGCCCTGCAGCAGCACAATACTTTAGGCACAACTGAAGCAGAGAGGTCAGAGAAACCACTGGAAACGTGGAGGAAGGGGGCGGTGGGACTCACAGCTTCCCCTGAGTGGGTGAAAGTGGCTTCTGAGCCCACACACAGCACCAGCCCCAACCAGGTGATGGAACAGGCCTTCATGCCCTGCAGCAACCCCATGTGATCACAGAGTAGCCCCATCCCTTCTTGGTCCTCTTCTTCCTCCTGCCCCACGGGGGGAAGCAGGTCCCTGAGCACATAGAGCCCAGCCCTTGCCCAAGCTGGGCCAGACAGCCAAGCCGGAACTTAGACCTCAGTGATGCTCCTGGCTCAGCCCCAGGAGCTCGCACTCTGCCATCTGTCCTCCAGGCTGTGCCCCAGGGAGGCAGAGGAGCAGGATGAGGGGCTGGCAAAAGTGGCTCCTGCCCAGGGCTGCGACAGTGTCCTCAGCAGGGTGGCCTTACTGTACCTGCCTCTCACACCATCTTAACATCCAGGGTTTGGGCCCGTGATAGGTTCTGGCGCTGGGCTTTGACCATGTGCAGGCGTCTCCCGTGCAGTGTGAACTGGGACCAAGTGAACAGCTGCAGCAGAGCACAGATGATGGGCACCAGCACCAGCAGGTAGAAGCAGCCCTGGCGGAGTGTTGGGGCCTGGGCTGGGGCTGGGGCCGGGGGCTCTGGCCAGGGCTGGGCACTCCCCACAGGGGTCAGTGGGGGCTGCTGGAAGAGATCATGACCTAGGGTGAGAGAGCATGCAGAAAGAACAGGGTCAGCCCTGGTCTCCTCCAAGGTCCACAGTGCCACATCTCAAACGACGCGCATACATTTCTAAACCACAACTCACTTCCTTTCCCAAACTTGCTTCTCCCCTGTGTTTCCTTCTGGGTGACTGGCACCACTATCCACACCATAGACTCAAAGTCTTCCTGGATTCTTCGGTTAACCTCACCACTCCCCAGCAGCCAGTCCTTCCCCTCCCCCGAATTCCAGAACACATGCCACACCCAGACACTTTCTTCCAGCCCCCCTGGCTCCATCTGCTCAAGCTTCCACGGCTTCTGCCACAGCCTCCCCACAGCCCATTCTCCATACAGCAGTCAGGGTGAACTTTAAAAACCAGATCAGACCATGTCACTGCCCTGCTTAAAACCCTTGATATAGTTTCTCTTCACACTGAGAATAAAATCCAAACCCTGCCCTGATGGACAGAGCCCTCTGCTGCCCCAGCCTCATCTCCTAGCCACTCCTAATACCTTGGGCTCCGTACTTGCCCCCCCATCCTGTCTGGGATTCACTGAGATCTTTCTAGACCAGATTCTTGCCATCCAGTCCACATTCTGGGTGTCATCTCCTCAGAGAGGCCTTCCTGGACCACACACACTAAATAGCTTCTCAGTCACACTGCCTATTTTACCATCGCTTTTCCCACTACCATTGCTATTTCCTTGTTCGGCTCTTTATCGCCAACCCCACCCATCCCTCTAACTAGAATATAAGTTCCATGATGGCAAAACCATTGTTATCTCCCTAAAGGGACCTGGAGCAGCTCCTGGCAGTGAAAGTATTCTATACACGTTTGTTGAATGAATGAATGAATGAATGAATGAATGAACGAACGAACGAACCACTGAAAGACGGGAAGAATTGGAGACTCAGTTCCTCCGCCTACGTGGGGAGAGGCAGAGGAGGTGGGGCCCAGGAACAGCCTCTGCTGGCCAGTTGCCATTCTCTCCCCCTTACTGGACCCAGCTTGTAGCTTTGACCCCCAGAGCCTCAGGAGCCCGGTGCCAGCCCCCGGACCCTCACCTGTGTAGAAGCACAGCAGCCAGGTGCCCAGCAGCGGGGCAAAGGTCTGGCCCGGCTTGGTCACCAGGGCCACCATGCCAAAGAGAAGAGCTGAGGCCGCCTGCTTGCGGTGGTTCAGCACCAGGTCCTCGTCCACCAGGTCAGTGACCACCAAAGTCAACAGCTTACAGGTGCCCTCCGTGAAGACA